TCTGCGGGCGGTCACCACGCGGCTTCATGTGTCAGCAATCGTTACAGAAGAAATGCAGGCCCGGACCCAGGGTCTTTGCATTCTTGCCAGGAAATGATTTTCAACTACTTTGTTTTAACACCTTCACCCCTGAATTCTTTGTAACCACAGCTCAACTCAGGGGCTAAAATGCACCTATTCATGCCTTTGTAAAATCTACACGTGTTTATAATTTGGGATGTCTATGTGAAAACACACTTTTCTACTTATCTTCAAGTCAAACAGCTGGGCCATCCTAATGGACTCTTCTCAACACCAGGCCATTAGGACACACAGGTGTGGGTTCCAGGCATGGAAAACTGCCTGGTGTTGCTTCTTAGATCTCCTGCTGCTGAGGACTCTTGACCAGTGGATGGTCAGTGGCCTGCCAACCCACTGACAAGGCAGAAACCAACCTAGGTCCTGACAGTCACAAATGGAGGAGGAAGACAATATGGTGTGAAGAACACATTCACATAAAAGGCTGCATCTCTACTAACACTCAGGATGGTCTCTGATATCCTCCAATGTACTGCAAATTTGAGGTTCCCCCACCCCCTTAAAAAAAGAGAATGAATCCCTAACTTTTTATATTACAAATTTTCAAGCCTACCAAAAAGTTCCAAGATTAGTACCATGACAACTGTATACTCTTTATTCAGATCCAACATTGTATTACATTTTCCTCCTCTCTCCCTCCCTCCCTCCATTTTTCTCCCTCTCCCTTTGTCCATGTGTATGTGTATATAAAAGAATATACTATATGCAGAGACTTCTTTTATGCCAAACAATTTGAAAATTAGTTGGACATATTGTGACACTTTATCTCTAAATTCTTCAGTTTGTGCACCTCCCAACATCAAAAGTATCCCCCTATATACACAACTATGTTTGATAAGACCATTTACCATATGAAGGAAATTCAACTAAGAGAAGACTATTTTCTGATATTTGATCAACACTCAAATGTCCTCATTGTCCCAATAATGTCTATTATAGTTGTTCTTTCTCAATCAGGGATCACACATGGCCTTTGACTGTCATATCACCGTATCTCCTCAGTCACCTTTTATCTGAAACCGTTTTCTAGACTTTGGGGGATGGTGAGGTATCTTTAATGATACTAACGGTGTTAAAGAATGAAGGCCAGCTGTTTTAGAAATGTCCTTTGATTTAGATTTGTCTCTTTCCTCAGAAGTGAAGTTAGGCTAAATATTTTGGCAGACATTCTATCAAGGTGGTGCTATGACCTCTTAGTGCATCATTTGAACCCATGAAGAGTGTTGACAAGTTTGATCATGGCAAATTGACTGCTTAAAGCTACAGTGTCTTAACATGAATCCTAAGTCATTTGCACACCTTTATTTTAAACTATTAACAACAGTTATTCAAACTCTTACTCCTTTACAGCATACTCAACACAGCTATCTTTTATCTGTCTAACATATTAACTCATTTGCACCTAAATCCAGAAATGCTACCTCCCATTTTATAGTAAAAGATCATATGAATCTTATACACTAAAACCTTCACCAAGAAGGTGGTTTTGCTTTGGGTCTTGATAAATAAATAAGATTTTGTCAGGAAGAGCAGGAGGACAGTATTATATTCATAAGAAGTATCATGAGAAAGGCATCATACATGAGAGCAAATGTTTGAGGAAGTGTGAGCTGACTATAATCAATCAGGCGAGAGATGAGAAAGGCCTGCTCAAGGTCTTGTCTAGTGGCCATAGAAATGTGAATACGTAGACAAACTGGAGAGAGTTGCCAAAATCTCTGATAGCTGAACTACAGCAACTGCATGTCTAGGGTGCCTTTATTGATAATGGAAACAGGAGGGACAGGGATGATCATTTCAGTTTAATTTCAGTAGGTTAAGTTTGATATGCTGATAGGGTATGCAGATGGAGTTGTCCAATACAGAGAACAAGCGGTCTGGAGTTCAGGTGAGAAATAACAATTTGGGTCAATACTACGATGAGTTGAAGTCTTGAACATATACAAGAACATGAGTGTAGAAAGGGAACAGTCAATAGGTTTGAAGAGGAAGAATACTAACAGAATGGGGTATGAGGAGAAATGTGGTAAATCTGTTTCTTGCCAAGACTCCAACTAGTGCACAGGTATTTGGAAATGTTGATTGGAAAGTAATTGAAAGACAGGAAAAGATTTGACTAGATTTGCAGATTCAGGACATTAGTAAATGGGCAGTAATTAACCTATACCTAGATAAGGATTTTTTTAGACCAACGATAACTCCATTATGTGTTTTTTCAAACACCACCAAGCAATTAACCCAGTTCTTACACTATTTACCTGGAGATAGTACCAGATTGTATGGGTCTGGGGTCAGTCCCACAAGACTGCCCCCGCTTCAAATGGCAATTACAAGTCCACATTGTCACCTGCACTCCTGACCAGCTGACTGTTAATCAGAGGTTCCCGTGACCCTCTCCTTGGGTTTGATTAATTTGCTAGAGTGGCTCACAGTGAAACATTTACTTATGTTTACCAGTTTATTATAAAGGCTACAGATGAATAGCCTGATTAAAAAAGTATACAGAGCAACATCTGTGGGAAAGAACAGGGAGCTTCCATGCTCTCTGGGCACATGACTCTACCCAAATTTCCACAGCCTCACAACCTGGAAGCTCTCCAACCCCATCCTTTTGGGTTTTTATGGAGGCTTTATTATAATACATAAGCATGATTGATGAAATCATTGGCTGGCCATGATTGAATTCAATCTCTATCCTCTCTCCCTTTCCAGGAGGTGGGGGATGGGGTAGACATGAAAATTCCAACCCTCTAATCACCTGGTTGGTGCCCCTGGCAACCAGACAGCAGCCTTGGGGGAAGGGGAACTCTCCAAAAGTCACCTCATTAACATTAACTCAGGTGTGGTTGAATGGGATTTACTATGAATAGAAAGACAACACCTTCAACCTTCATGTAACTGGAGCTATTTCAGGAACCAATGACAAAAAAACAAATATTATTACGAGATGCTCCCATTGCTCCTAATGCTTAGGAAATCCAAGGGTTTTAAGAGCTCTGAGCCAGAAGTGGACAAAGAACAAATGTACCTTTCTTATTATAAAGCACAGCATCACATTAAAAAATTGGTAAGGAGAACATAAAGATGAAGATAAGTGGGGAAGTGTTAGCCGGAAAAGGTCAAGCAAAAGGAAAAATGATGGAAAGGACAAAGCAGAAAGGAAATTCAAATGAAGATGGAAAGAGGAGAAATAAAAGTGAAGGATATAAATGGAGGAAAGCAACCAAGGATCCCTTATAATCTTGAATCAAATTGCCCGCCTGCTCCCAGTAGGGGCAATATATAAAAAACAACATTTGCTCCAATAAAAAATGATATAAAGGTCAATGCACATGTCCCAAACCTTTAGTTCTACTAAAATTATTTATGATTCACATTTTAAATTAAGGGATCAAAATCCTTGTCTGCGTAGCTTCTGGTCTCAGAGCGGCTTGCTCCTTTCTGTTCACAAGGGTTTCGCTGGGCCCCGCTCCTGACTTCACCCTGCAAGTTTTGCCCCTCGAACCCTAACTCCCAGAATTCCCAGGTCTGGGGCTGCCACGGGGCTGCGGCCAAACGGAAGTCGGTCAGCATCATGAAGGCTGCGGCCTTGCCGTTTGGAAGAGATGGATTTAATAAAAGGGTTAAAAATTATATGTTATATATTAATATATGTGACATATGATATACATATATAGATTGGTTATTCATAAAATTTTCAAATTCATTCCTTCCAAATCTATCTACCTATCTATTAACTTATTTGGTTACATGATTCTGACAAAGTTGGAAGGATTTTTAATGACTAATCATTAACTTACTACTAACAAGTACGGGAAATAAAATGCATTCACTGACATAGCAATTCTTACAATAAAAAACAATCCATTTCCTTCAACTTGCTAAAACCATGTGCTTATTACTATGACTCTCATAGTTCTCGAACACAATTGTTTTTTTTTAAACATCTATTTTCAATTAGTCATCGTGATATGGCTCTAAGACTGTTTAACAATCAGTAAGGTCTATGTAGGGGCCTGCCTAAATTCTTGACATTTTTCTAATTGTTTTCTGCAAAACCACATGCAGAGGAGGCGGTCGCAATAGAAACAGTCAGTGAATCATTACCAGGATGCGTACGGCCTCAGCTTTCTGTGCACACGACGTGTGGGTGTGTGCATGTGTGCATGTATGTGTGCATGGGCCAAGTTCCTACCAGAACTAAGATGTGTTTGTCTTCTTGATCTTCCACCTGTTCCCTTTCTTTCACACAAAAGGCAACATCAATTAAATAATCAAAATTAGTTGCCAAGAATTATGAAACATGTCAATGCATGAAAAAAATCCTGCTTCTGCCCATATGCGAACACATGAGCTTCTCTGTGTTAGGTGGGCAGGTTCAGGGGGCAAGGGCTTTGCTTCGACAGCTCCCCAGATGACACCAGGGTCATCCTGGTGTCCACTATGTTTTTAGAAGACTCAGTCCACAAATGTGGTATCTAAGCACAAGGCGATTCTTAAGATTAAAAACAGCAATTTATCATGAAACTGCTGCTTGTTAATCACGAAATTTCCTCTCTACCTCTTCTCCCCTCGATTCCAGGGGAATGCAGTGAAACACTGAAGTGAGAAACCATAATTACAATCACATTCCTGCCCTGGGGTCAACCTAATTATCCACCTCTCAACCCCAAACAAATTTACTTCTTTAAAAATACAGGCCATTATCACTCATGGGAAAAATACAAACAAAGATTAAGATGACGTTTAGGCATAACTGCAACCTTTCATTTTTAAGTGACCTCTTAGTTTAATGGCTTCAATGCATTCTTATTCAAGTGCAATATATATTGCAGGAGAGAACTGTAATAAATGACACTGTCATGACCCTTAGGTTAGAGCAAAAGAATATTGGAAAATAAATCTCAATTCTGGATACTCACCAATCCTGCAATGGGGGTAGGCAATCTATTGATCTTTTTAACAAGTCCTGGCTTTATAGCATTCAGCAACCTGTCATGGAAAAGGCAGAATGTCAAAGGAGACATAAAGCAAGATGGATCACGCAAATCACCTTTATCCAGGGCTACAGTTAAATTGCTGAATAGGAAAAGCAGCGAATTTAAAGCATGTGGTAAATCTCAATAACCAATGAGCCTTAGTGCATACAGGTGAAGAGCTTTGCCAACATCAAGTCTGTCCATGGCAGGTGAAGTTCTGGAATTTGGAAATGTTGGGAGAGAAGAAAGGATGGGGGCTGGGAGATGCTTCGGGGGGAAGGACAAACAGAGGAGCTGGGTGGAGGCCAGGAGGGAACAGTCTAGGATTGGAGCCAGGTATTACTACACAGGCAAGGCACGGTCCCAGCTCTCCCAGCCAAGGCAGGATCTTTTCAGGGATGCACTAAGCTCAGAGACCAACATCTATCTTCCCAAATAATTTGCCAAGACTTATTCTATCTCCGGACCCTCTTGCTCTTTGAGGAGAGTACCTTGTTAAATGTGGTTGAGCCTCCCTTAAGAAAGGGGAGAATATATTTAGCAAAAGGTTACCCAGTCATGTCCTGAAGATTTTAAACAAGGCTCACCACAAATCCCTAGATACAAAAGAAATGTGAGAAAAATATTTTGGGGGTAAAGGTTGAAATCATGTAAAAATGCTAATACAACAAGGGGAATGCAAGAGGAAAAAATTATAACTATGCATATTTTGCAGTGTATATTCTGCACCCACGTCTTTGACCCAAGTTTTCAGGGAAAAAATCTTCTGTTTAAGTTTTTTAATTCATTTTTTATTTAATTAGATACTTTTTTTGTATTATAAGGGAATTTTAGCATTTATTTTTGAACATATTATGGCACAAGAAATTTTATGTAATAAATAATTACAAAATACAAGAACAGATACAAGGTATTTCTGCTACTACCCATGTATAATGTGCATCCTTATTTTTTCCCTCCGACATTTGTGCAAAAAGTGCACATTATACAGGGCAAAATGTGGTACTTGTCTTCAGAAAGTATTGATTCAAAGTGAAAAGAAAGAAGAAAGGGCAACTTGTAAAGCTAAAACAGGGTTGGCATCTGGGTGACGTGGTGGAATGCAGCATTTGCAAACTAGGTTATTCATAAAGGGACAGCTGAAGGTAAGGAAGGGGCTGCAGAACAAAAGCATTTATTTCCAAGTTCAGGAATCTGAGGAGAGGCAATCGGGTAACATCTCAGGATACAGTGTAAAGAGAAACTTGGGGCAGGAATTATTATAATCCAGGGGTCAGCAAGCTCTAATCCATGGGCCAAATTTGGCCCAATGCTTGTTTTTATTAAAAAGCTTTATGGAAAACAGCTATGCCCATTCATTTACGTGTTGTCTGTTGATGCTTTTGTGCAGGGCTGAGTAGTTACAACAGAGAGCAGATGGCCCACAAAGCATACAATCTTTACTAGTTGGCCCTTTATAGAAAAAGTTTGCCAACCTCTGTTACACAGGCAAACTTCGGAGATATTGCGGGTTCAGTTCCAGACCACTGCAATGAAGTGACTACTGTAATTAAGTGAATAGAAATCTTTTTGCTGGTGGCAGGTCTTGCCTTCAATTTGTAAAAAAAACTCAACATCTGTGAGGCACAATAAAATGAAGCACAATAAAATGAGGTGTGCCTATAATTCATGCAATCCAAGATTATAGCCAACTGTGAAGAACCTATACTTAATAGATTTCTACAAGTCAATAACAAAAGATCCTTTGAAATAGTTTAATGGTTAGTCTTTTTTTAAAAATTTTATTTATTTATTTTTTAGAGAGGGGAAAGGAGGGAGAAGGAGAGGGAAAGAAACTTCACTGTGTGGTTGCCTCTTGCACACCCGCTACTGGGGACCTGGCTTGCAACCCAGGCATGTGCCCTGACTGGGAACCAAACTGGCAACCCTTTGGTTTACAGGCCGGCACTCAGTCCACTGAGCCACACCAGCCAGGGTTAATGGTTTGTCTTGAATGCAGCCTATTTTTGACTTTGACACCACTATGCATCTATATATTAAGAAATGTCCCTACATTGTTGCGACAGACAGGGTGTTCTATTTTTGCACCAAGGATTTTGCCTGTTCTTGGTAACTTTCACTGCTTTTCCAACATGCTACCACCAACAGGTGACACTGGAGAGGACATGTGCCTGCTTGCTCGCTGAGAGCCAACCAAGATGGAGCTCTTTTCATGAACTTACTTAGTTTTAATTATGAATTTAATCTTTTTTGAAAAGTGCTTCTTTATAACTCAATTTGGAGTTATTATAACTTATTTCTAACTTCAGTTGCAAGGCAACTTGTTCATGCTTTTCATTTTACAGTTTAGAAAGCTGAGGTCTGATGATGATGGATGAGTAACTTGCCCAGAGCGGGTGAGCCGCACAGTCAGGCTGGCGCCCAGCCTTCCCGGGTCGGCATGCGCTCTCACCCAGGGTTCGCCTTCCACATCTTGTGGTTTCAAATAAACACACAGAGATGGTGTCTCCAAAGCAGTTCTTAAACGTACAGAGTTGTAAAGATACATGACTTTTCTCACTAGTTCTTAACAATGTCATTTTAAACTGGATTTTAAAATAGTATTTGTGCACAGCCTGGTAATTTAAAAGGAATCAAAAGGACATTCGGTAAATCATTAAGTCTTGCTGTCACTCTGGTCCCACAAGGCCCCAGAAGGTAACCTTAAAGACTTTCCAAGGAAAATGTCTAAAGATACATATTTCTTTTTAACAGACGGATGTAGCATGTATTATGCATCGTCATACACCTTGTCTTTCTCCTTAACGATGTATCTTGGAAGTTGACACCTTGTCTTTCTCCTTAACGATATATCTTGGAGGTTGAACAATTTGCCTTGAAGAGTGTGCCTTGTCAATCCATGTGGACCTATGTGCTTTCTAACAGCTGTGGACTACAGGCTGCTGGAGCTGGCAGGAGGGCGAGGGCACTGGCTCTGGAGTCCAGCCAACTGAAGCCAAAACCCTGCTGGTCCTCATTAAGGTCGTTACGTCAGGCAAGTCCTTTAGCTCCAGTTTCCTCATCTGTAATATGGAAATATAATGGTGCCAATTGCATGAGTGTCACTGAGCCTTAAATGTGACAAAATACGTAAGGAGCTAGCATAGAGCCTAGTGCATAGTAAATTCACTATGATGTTTCTCTACACTTTTGTGTATTTATACTGATTCAATTCACAGCATTTTAGATCAGCCATTTTCTCTAATATTTTAGGTTTTTCTAATGAAATAAAGTACCATTGCCACCAGATATTTCTGAGCTTTTTGCTAATTAACCAAAGCAGAAAAAATAACAAATGCCCTACCCCCCCCAAAAAAAATCGTAAGTTAAAAGTCACCTTTTAAAGAGGCACTCTTCCTGTTATCTAATATCTAAAACTTGTGTTAGAAGTTTCAGTATGATGGCTCCACCAAGCCCTCTTTCATACATGTTTTTATTTTAAGTAGTCTTAAATACTTCATTATATTCATCCTTTGTAGAATTATAGTTATATGGCAGAAATCTTTCCTGTCACATGAAGCTGTAAAAAAATGACAACAAAGAAACACAAGTATAATGCTAGGAATACTTTCAAGATCAAGACAGGTGTATTTTTCATATAAACATTGCCCCAGCTCCCTACACAGTTTACAAAACACAACAATAAAAGAGAACATTCAATTCACATTGCAGAAATATCCAACACCTGCTTATCTTGTATTCTGCATTAAACTGAAGGCATTTTTTTTTTGGTATATAATAGGAGTCAAGTGAGAAAAGTTTAACAAAGCAGCTGTGAGTAAGAGCCAAGTACTCACTTGCAATTTTATTAAAAACCACTCCTGCCTTCCTGTGCAAATTAAAATATATTTTCAATAAATTTAATGATGACATGCTTTAAAGCAAGGATACTTTACATACAAGAACCTTCTGAGATGCACTGTCCTCTAATACCCTGTCCTGTACAGACAGGTCATGCATTCACTCCATCATTTTTGCAGAAGAAAAGATTAAGCCCTAATCAGATGTGAAGACTTCCCCAGAGACACACACAACTAGTCTGCAGCACGCAGAGCCAGTCCGCAGGTCTTAGGCCAGTCATTTAATCTGTAACTTGGTTCTTTAGAAAATCCAGCCTTAGTATGTAATCAGAACATAAATCAACACACACACACACACACACGCACGCACACGCACACACACACACACACACACACACACACACTCCAAACAAAAAACAAATCCCCAAACAAAAACTGTCTAAATACAGTGGGATAATATCAACACTAGATGGGAATGAAAAGAAAATGGAAGAAGGTGTCTGCTGGGGGATGGTTAAGTATAAGGCACATGAGATCCAGATTTGATCTCTGGTTGCTCTACAACCTCATCGTAAGGGATTTCAGAGAATACAATGTGGCCATTCACTCCCTCTGGAGTAGAACCCCATACCAATTTCCCACCTGGTCTGTGCTCCCCAAAACCTATAGCTAGAAGGCCTGCATGAATAATTTGCTCTCTCTGTCTGTTAAAAGATTATCTTTGTATTCATCCAAAGACATTTCTGGGAGGTTGGCATAATGCTATACAACAAAACAAAACAAAATTAAACATTTGTAGTAATTCAAGTAGCATTCACATGTCATTTACATTAAATATACCCATGACTACAAACAAAAATAAAGATAATTAAATATATCGATGTGAGGCCTTATTAGGATGAAATATTTTCTGACATTTGATTTATCCAGCAGTTATTTATCAAGTGCCTTCTGTGTGCTGCACACAATTTTAGGCCAAGGAAAGGCAGCAGTGAACGAGACAAGCAAAAGTCCTGCTCTTTGAAACTCGTCATCTTGGTAAACAGGTGGAGCGGTGGGATGGACAGAAAATAAACAAACAGATAAAAGAGAAGAAATTTTCAGATAGCATAAGCACAGGGAAGACAATCATAGTAAAGATCAGGCAGGTGGTACTGCACTTGGGCAGTCAAGA